TAAATGATTATTTGTTCGGACTAAGTTATTTTAATAACTATCCATGGTTATTTTTGTGTCCCTTATACTCTTGGCAAAATATGTCTCACTGAGTCATGTGCTTATAGCTGTTTAACAATTTTCAGGAAACAATGCAATTCAGAAACAGCTTTTGGAAAATCTTAAACGCGGGGCTGCGGCATAGACACAGATAGCACTTTTATGACATTTTTATATGTAAATATCGACCTTTTGGTCAATAAATTTTGTAATAAAAATAGAAGTTTCAATGATTATTTTGGTACCCTCACTTAAATATTATTTCCACTTGCGTTTATGAATTTGTTCAAGAATTAGTCGGTGGTAACTTCAGTTACTGGCTATTACGATACTTAACCCTTGGATACAGGGAGCGGGTCGTGACAAATGATATCAGAGCAATGGTTTATAAAATAAAAAAAAAAAATCATTATTGGAGCATAGAATACACGCACATTTAAGAAATAGGATAACGGGTAATTAGTACCTAAATATTATATTTCGTTAGTCGATTTAATTATATTATAATTTTATATGATTTTAATTATATTAGTATAATTTTATATGATTATATATATATATATATATATTAAATTGTTTTTTGTGTGCTTAATTTGTGAAGGATATAATTTATATTTGTTATAGTAAAAGAAGGAAAAAGAAAAAAGAAAAAAAAAGGGATGTTGAGCTCAAGCACCTACCAAAATTATAATATAATGTAAATACATATAATTTCAAGTTCAGTATTCAAAAAAAAAAGAATTTCATTTCGATTTTTTAAAAGTGGATTCAAATTTTAAAAATACTAATTTTGAAACTATTTTCTATCAGTGAAAAGTTCACAGATAAAAGAAATGGGAGTTCATCTCAAATTTCTTCAACTCCTGTATATAATTCTGTCATTTCACTTCCAGTCGCTTGTTTGATTGCGTCCTCCTTTTATTTTTATTTTTATTTTTTTTCTTGGAAATAAAACTAATGAAAAGTTTTTAAAATAACCGATTGTTTCTCATTTTGCCCCAAAACAATTTTTGACAACTAAACAGTGAGTTGTTTTTGGTAAAGATTTTTTTTGAGGTAATATTTTCTATCAGATTAATCATCTAATATATATTTATCAGAGCGTGCAGCGATTAGTTTATACATATGACAAATTTCGAGGACGAAATTTTTAAAATAAAGGAAGATTGTAACAACGCGAAAATTTAAGTTGTCCTTTAAATTTTATACTGGTATTATGGTTGTATGTGATAATATATTATTAAATAAATAACAATAGATACATAATCTAATTTGGCATTAGATTATCAAATATGGGATGAATTAGGAATTATTATTTGGGGCCAAATTAACAGAAATATGAAATTATAATACTAGTTAGGCCAGATTAAAGTTAAAAATAATAATAAATAAATATAAAAGTAAGAGCAAATAAATAATAATATTGATAACAATAAAATAAAATAACAATTCATGGAGTCATGGTGGAGTATTCAGAATTTATCTATGAGTTCTTAATTTATTTTAATTTCATATATCCATGAATGTGATTACATCCATAAAATAAATATATATAAAAACCCTAAACCTTGCATATACAACTAACCAAAATAATTGAAATTAATACGTTATCTTCAAGCCAATACAATATCAAACTAACATCAAATAAATAAAAATAAATAAATAAATAATAACAAAATAAACATAAATAAAAGAAAGTTACTTTTGCACTCGCAATTATTTTTTGAAGATCAGAAAAATATTTAGAAAATTAATAAAGTTACCAAAATAAGACCCTAACCCTTTCTTTATCTTCTCTCCTCTCTCTCTCTCTCACTCAGCTTTCTTGTTTCTTTTATTTTTCCTCTCTCTTTTCTTTTCTTTGCCTCTTAAGATTATATCCTAATCACTATTATATAACCTAATTTCCTATTATCACCCTAACACCTTTGATATATATAAGATTGATATATAACAGCTTATATATATATAAAATATATATACACATATAAATATTCGGATTAATTATATATAATTGGGTAAATTACACTTACCTCCCCTAAGGTTTTTGACGAATACGAAGACCTCTCCTGTGATTTGAATAATTACACAAACCTCTCCTGTTTTACCTGACATTGTTAAGATTCTCCAATTCCTTCAAATTGGCACAAACGACGTTACTTACATATACTAAATGACCTTATTACCCTTGCTTTGGAGCACGAAAGGACGATAATAACCTTTGTATCCTAAATCCGTAATTCACTATCCATTCTGATTTCGATCAAATTTATAGGAGAAAGAAGAGAGAGAGAGAGAGAGAGAGAGAGAGAGAGAGAGAGAGAGAGATATTGGTGTGAACAAACGACGAACAAGTTTGAGATTTTGGTGAGATTTTGGTGAGATCATCATTGCCAGTGCAAAATGTGAAAGAGATTGATCGGTGAGAAGTTGGTTTTAGGAGTAGGAGTTCCCGTTTGTTTTCAAACCTTTTATACTTCATCCCCGTTTGTTTTCTGGAGTAGCAGTTCAGTTCTTTCATACTTCATCCCTGTTTGTTTTCTGGAGTAGCAGTCCATCTAGCTCATGTTTGTTTTGATTTTGGAACTCTGGATTTGTAGTCCCTTTCGAATTCGTAGTCTCTTTTAGATTTGTACGCTTTTATGAACGGATAAGCATTTTGGTTGGGAGATGTTGGGTGACCGGTCGTCCATGGAGATTTCCTGCCGGACGTCCGGCCAAGCCTTTTTTTTTTTTTTTTTTTGCGACGAGGTGTTCTGCCGTCTCAAAAAAATCTTTTTGATATGATATTTGATTTTTGCAATTATGATTGTATTATATAAACTTTTATTTATGTTTGTTATGAAAGTAGGGATTTGGTTTTGTTAATTTATTGTAAAAAACAGTTTTCTTTTTAATTTTCTTAGAATAATGATTTGAGGATTTTTTTTATTCTTTTTGTTATGCAATTATGATTATATGAGCTTTTATTATGTTTTTTTTGGTGTCTTCTACTTATGAATTTTGTTACAGTTGGGTGAGTAATTATTGAATAGAGTTGTTTTTTTATAATTAATTGTTACTCATTGTGATCATAGTATGGCTGCATTCTCTTATTTTGATATATTATCAACTATAAAGGCAAAGTGGGTAGATTATATGATGTGGACCTAAATATGTATTGCTACATTAATGCCTTGAAGGATGTGACTGCAACATTTCTTTCTCACATTGCTTGTAGTGAAGCAATAGCTATCATATTGCATAGTGATATGCCTGGTACTGAGAATAGGAGGTTAATAGAAAATGATCTTGATGTGTTGGATATGTTTTATGTGCAATGTAAGAGTAAAACAATTAACTTATATGTTGATAGATAGGGAGCATAGTACTTAACTGTGAGATAGTGATTGCTTCTTTTTTGGGGATATAAATCTTTTGTAACTCTTTTGGGATGTAACTGTCAACTAACACTGAAGCATCAAGTGTAACTATGAAGTACTGATATTTGAACTTGTTTATATATGTCTGAAGCACTCATAATTGGGACACATATTTTGGGATTTGCCATGCTTTCATTCCAAGGAAAGACTAGTACAAGCTTGTTGTCTTACACTTAAATAAAATAGGGTTTACATATTTCATTACACAAAAGCTAGCACAAGTTTGTCACACTAGGATATCCTTGCATTACATAACCCATAGAACAAGCTTTACATATTATAAGTAGGTTACATCATAATGGCAACAAACATGGCAAACAAACTTATGCCTAAACTTATGATTATCAGTAGCTTCATATATCCTTGGTTGTTTTCAAGTACTTGCACTCTTGTATGCACATCTTTGAATTTGCCTCGAGGTAATGGCCTTTGAATAGTGTCAATGCTTTCATCAGTTGAGTTAACAGGTTTGCACCAATCCCAGAATTTGCATTTTCTTTCTGCATAAGCACAGTACATCTTTCCTTTGTTTTTGTTTCTTTAAGATTGTGTCACCTTGATAGTTGCCTTTTGACCACAAAAACATGTTTTGCTTCTATATTTCAGTATGTTGCTTCCATTGTTTGATGATGCCATATCACTGTATTTGTGCATGCATACAATATATATATATATATATATATATCCATAGTTCACAAATAAATAAATAAATACACAGAACACTCACATGAAATCTTCATCCATGTCAAGCAGGGTTGTAGAGAGAGAGAGAGAGTTTGGAGGGAAAGTTAACAGGTGCTGAAAATTGGAGGCAAATAGTTAGAAGGGACTGTGTTATTTTATAAAGGATGACGAGGGTATTTTGGACATTTGCATGTTTATTGTGGCTGATGTCACTGTTTTTGTTACTTTATTAACGTCCTTCTAACAGTAGAGGGAATCTGTGTATTCTTTTCAAAAGTATGTGAGGATAGTGTTATTTTTGAAACTACAAGGGAGGTCCCTATAATTAAGGTAAACCTTAGAGGAGGTCAGTGTAATTTACCCTATATAATTAAATATCACATTAAATTAATTAAATAACTTAAATTCTCATGTATCTACGCAATTAATAAAGTCAAAAAATAAAATAAAATAAAGTAATAATAATAATAATAAAAAATAAATAAATAATGATTTAAGAAAAATTAGGATCGCTACACCTTTCCATTCTCATCCAAAAAACGAATCATAAAATTAAAAAAAATAAATCATAAAAAGGTATTATCTTAAATTCAAATGACATTCAATCAAATAAATATAACTTTTCAAAACAAAATGGACTAATTGATTTATAAGAAAATTTTTAGGACTAAATAAATTAACATTTCCCTATATAAAATTTATAGGTAAATTTTCTATAAAAAATAAAAAAAATGAAAAATAAAAGTTTAATTTTCTGGAAAATTAACTCAATTTTATGAAAATCCAAAAACCAGGATTGTTGACTTTAAATTGCTGTGTCTACAGCACTTAGATATTTTTAAAGAGTGTATTTTTATATGCTCAACAAAGGAAAGAATCAAGAATTCCTCTTTCAGTGGCGGTTTTCTCTCTCTCCTCTCTCTCTCTCTCTCTCTCTCTCTCTGTGCTCCCGCCCCCACCAATAAAAGAGTCCAATTTGGGGGCTGCACTACTGTCTCTCACCTCTCTTCCCTTCCTGTCTCTGCATCATCCCAGATTCCCGGTAAGCCTCTCTCTCTCTCTCTCTCTCTATATATATATATATATATATATGTTTATATGACGTGTATTGTGGATTCTCAGAGGATATTCGCATTGATTTCTGCGACAGTTTTTCTTCTTCTTTCTTTCTGGGTTATGGACAATAGAATCCAACCCGGAAGTTACTTCCAATACTCCCCAACTGGAGTCCATGGTTCACTCCAAAGGTCTTCTTCTCTACCTTTGGATCATGAAAGGTCAGTATTATTAGCTTTTTTACACTTATAATGGATTTTGATCCTTGTGTGTCTGGGATGGTCTATTATGATTTTTTGCTTTTGGGTTTATTCATATTCTTTCATAGATTAGTTGTACTGTTTTATTTTGTACTTCTAATCCAACTTGGCAATCTGCCTATCAGCATCATTGTTTTTTTTTTGGGGGGGTAAGTTACCATTATTGGTTTAGGTCGTTTATAATGTTTAATTCAAAGCACATAATCATAGAAAATGTGCAATAGGAAAAAGGGTTTCTCTCTACAGTTGGGAGTTTCTCTCTATTGATTTCTCCATGAAGGTTGTATCAATGCCTAACCTATTGTTTGCCTTAAACCCTTTGTGCCATACTATATTACCTCTTAGTGATTTTTTTAGGACTTCTATCCTACTTGCTTGTTGGCCATTTCCTGTGCAGCCTTGTTTGATGAATTGGCTTGAGATGTCCGATATCTCTTTTGTTTCAGTGCAGTTTAATGTGAGGGCTTTCAGCCTTTCATTTTTTGTTTCTGGAGCTGCTATTTGAAGCTTAACTGGCTTGGGTATTGGCTTATCTCATTGTATTTTCAGATGCCCATTGGGATAATGGGTTCTTGTAGGTATTTGTTGTATAGTAGGTGTAGTCAAGATGTGTTTCTTTTTGCTCTCTTTGGTCCATATAGTGGCTGGATTCGTAAATCTCTTTGAGGCAGGAGGATGTTTGCTATGGTTTGTAATGTTTGCAGTGGTAGGTGCTACCTGTTACACCCGCTTTTGCAGTGTGATGAAAATTCACATGTGTAACAGCCATTGCGGTGTTATGTAACGACTATAAAATGGCCGTAATGGGCCGTTACACACTGTTACACATTCTACACAGATTCTTTTCAAAAAAAAAAAATAAAATTAAATAAATAAAAAAAATCAAAAGCTTAAAAAAATCAAAAGCTTACACAATATTATAAGTCATGAACTCTATATTATATAACAACTAATAACAAAATAAATAAAAATAAGAGGTGCAATATGGATCTATGACATATAAAGTCATTAACTATTGAAATAAAATGTATCCATGGATAGTGATTTAAAAATATACAATAAATTGGATCATACTTAAAAACTAACAAAATTGATCAAAATCTATTTTAAATCCCAATAAATATTATTTTGAAATAAAAATAAGCATATTAGTAAGTTTTTTTCAAATTGTGCAAAAAATAAAAAAATTCATGATTCCGGTTACCGTAACCATTCCGGTACGGCCTTTACACCCTGCAACTGCGTCACCGCCATCGTAACTCTTACGGAGAGCGCAACCGCTTTTCGAAACCTGGGGTAGGTCTTATGAGGTTTTTTTCCAGCCTGGTGTTGCAAATGTCATGGATGGTCATATGTGTTGCCGTTGTCTGAAACCTCAGGTGGAAGACCAGGGGCGGGGTTATGTGTAATTCAGTGGTGTCAATTGACACCACTGAACTTTCAAATTTTGTTTAAATATATATGAAATTTTGTTTAATAGTTTTGGATTTTAACAAAATGGCCCCAGTGTTTGGAGGTATTCATTGTTTAGTGGTGTCAATTTTAACAAAATGACCCCAGTGAATCTAGATAAATATCACATATATCACATATATTTGGAGCTATTCATTGTTTAGTGGTGTCAATTTTAGCTCAGTGTTCGTTCATTCATTTGCTCCATCAGCGCTTCATTCTCTAACAACCATTGTTGCATTGCCATTGATGCATTCCTTCATTTGTTCTCTCTCTCCCTCTGAATGATCCCACTGAGGGGAATTCCTGGCTATGCCACTGTGGAAGACAAGTGGTGTTACATATGCGGCTGTGTTCGTGAAATTGGGTTAGGTTGCGTTTTGATAGGCTAATCATTTTACTGACTCTGACAAGCAAAAGATCATGACGTATTTGTGTTTTATCTCTTTGATGAAGCTGAGAATGGTTTTGCTTTGGAAGGGATTTGTTCCCACTTTTGGTTTTAGGGTACAGCTGCCCTCATGGGTTAGTTGGCTCTTACGGAGTTGATCCTATTATAACCTGCTGGTTCTCCCATTTCATTTTTCAGATGGAACAAATGGGGTGTGATGGGGACACGTTTAACATGGTGGTATAGTGCAACAGCTTACACATCTTCATGTCTCTGCTGTTTCTATGTGAGTGCCACATGGCCACATGAGGGGGGTCAAAGGGGTATTACCTACCTATTAGTGGATTCCACTTATGTTGAATGTATATCATTTTAGGTGGCAAAAATTTATGTTTGTTGATTGTGCTTTATTGTGTATTTTTTTGCCAGCAGGTATATGTTTCTCTCAAATGGTTAGTCAATTGGGTTGCAATTGGATATATTATTGTTTGGATAGATTGGGTTCGGTTTTCTCTGTGTGAGAGTGTGTGCCTTTATGGTCTCTGTGTACCTGCTGGTACATGTACAGAGGTCTATTGTACTATTATCTCTTTTTGGTAATAAATGCTTACTTACCCAAAAATACACATAATGACACAGGTTTGAGTGAGATAGAACTCAAGACCATACACACACTCATTGATTGTAGCTATACCACTCTTGTTGAAAGCAAAATCCTATGTGAAAAGGAAGTTACCCCTTTAAGAAAGAAGCGCTTGATATGTTCATTGGTCAAATAGTTATTCAAAAAAAGATCAGTCATTTTTTATCTACACTTGCTAATGGGTATCCAATTATTATTTCCTAGCATCAGCTTAGATAGTATTCCATTTACTTGCTCATACATGTAGATCTAAGGATGCATATGATGAGCTAGGGAACTTTTAATGGTCCTCATAAAATGCAGTGGATGGCTAAGATTAAACCTAGTTATTGTGGGGTTCATATTCAAAATAAATTTTAGCATATCAATACATTTTCTGTCGACCATTTTATGTTTCTATTATGTGTTCTTAGTAGGGGTGTTCACGGGTTGGTTCGGCTTGGGTTCACCCTTAGCCTGCTAGCTGAACCGAATATATCGGGTTAAAAAAATGGCCACTCGCTACTGACCGCAAATACATTCGAAATCGACTGCGCTCCACTATTTGGATTGACGGCTGGTTCGGTCGGTGAGACAAATACACAATCTCCTCCCCTCTTTCTCATATTATGATTCAAAGAAACAAATCTCAAAATTGAACATGTATAAATGGAGTTGAAGAAATAAATATAAGAGATTCAGACAAATATATGTAACATACAAACAAATCCTAAAAAACTAAAGAGTGAAGTGGGGAAAGAAACTCATCGTCCTTTAGATTTGAACAACATCTTCACAAATCTAAGTAGCATCATCATGGTTTCACAGATCTAAGAGCATAGAGCACCATTGTCGCAGGAAGAAAGATTAAGAGGGATGAGGTTTCTGGGAGGGAGACACTGTGAGAAGGAGATGAACTGAAGAGGTGGGAGAGAGAGAGAGAGAGAGAGAACAAGAGAGGTAGGATGGTTAGAGAGGGGGTAGAAAAAGGATGCATGAATTGAGGGGAAGAGAGATGCAGTAATTGAGGAGACAAGACTAGAGTCTTTTGGCAGATAAACATTGAAAAGGATGAATTTTGGGAAGACCAAAAGTCTTCTCTCATTTATGGAAGAGTTACACGTTTATGCTAAACTCTAAGTTGTGTATATAAGTATCATATCCAAAGACAGTATAAATACTAACACGTGGATATAAAATATAAAATACAAATATAATATGTCGGTTGGATCGGTTTTGATGGGTCTTACAGGACCAGATCCGCCCTCCGAACCAGTAACCGAACATTTCTAAATGCTTCAACCACAGCTGACCAAGGTAATTTTCGAAATTGCCCACAGCTGTCTTGGTTCGGACAGGCCAGGTGGATGGGTCGAGTTATGTGGACTTGTGAACATCCCTAGTTCTTAGCTTAATAAGAAAAATAAGTAGTTCATGATTAATTAGTTAATCATCGTAAGTACATATTTTCTTCATTATTTATGTTAATTTTGTTATTTGATAAAGTTCTTTAGAGGATCATTCTTTTCATGTTAAGTGCATATAATCTTTCTGTTGGGTAGGCTGAGTTTATTGTACTGTTATTACAACACCAGCAGATACTTGGCAGAATTGTTGGCAGAGAGGCAAAAATTGGGGCCATTTGTGCAAATTCTTCCAGTATGCAGCAGGCTTCTAAATCAAGGTATTAAATCCTCTCTATATATAATTTGCTGCAGTTTATGGTGTGTGCAATGGATGTTGGCCAATTCATCACTGTTTGTGCTGTGTTTGGTAAAACAAAGAACAAGTGAGCATGTTAAACCATGGGAGAGCAAATTTCATATCACTTGGCGTATGTCCGAGCATGAAATCTAGCCAAGCATGCCTTGTAAACATGATTCTGTAAATGTATTTTTTTAAACATTTCAATGAAGAAAATGCTGAGATACTTCTGAAAGTACTTTCTAAAAAAACACACTGATTTTCAATAAATTGACCATAGAAAAAAACTTTTTAAGGAACCCATTAATCTATATTTGTTACATAACTTCCAAAAAGTTCCGAGTTCAGAGTTTGTGCTGAAATGCCCTTAGAAAATGGTTTATAGATAAATGATAGGCATCCTTAACGAGGAATTAGCTTTATTACTGTTTCTTCCCTGCATACAATTAGATTAAGTTCTCTCCATCATCTTGATTTGTTGCCTCATGTGGATTAACACTTCTACAACTTTCATCACTTTGGCTCCAACCTGCAAGGCTGCAACAGTTCCAGCAAAAACATTCATTCATTCGCTTCTCTCTCTCCCTTCCCCACCCCCAACCTTTCGCTGCTTAAATTTCTTCAGTCTTAGCCTTAGTTGCAGGAATCGTGCAACCAGGTGACGAATCTTCGTAAGAAACACGATTCCGGATTTCTTAGAAAGAAACGTGTAAGAATTGCGTTTCTGTAGAGAGAGAAACGCGATCCTGTCCAAGATGGGATCGTTGGTGGAAATAAAACAACTCAGAAACCCAGACAGAGCGAAGCCCTAACCCATTGAAGATAGAGAAAGATAAAACAGACAGAAACCCTAACCCATTGAAGACAGAGAAAGAGAAAGGGAAAGGGGACAAACCTGTTGAAGCCCTAATCGAGACTAGATCAAGGTATGTTCTTCCAATCTATGTGTGTTCGACTATTTCTCTCCCTCTGTTCATCGTCGAAGTGAAACCTGTTTATCTTCTTTGACTCTCTCTCACCCTCTGTTCGATGCTCGTCGTTGTCGTCTCCTTCGTCCTTCGTCCTTCGTATCTCTCTCTCTCTTTGTGTTCATCTTCGTCTTTGTCTCCTCTCTCTCTGTTCGTCTCTCATGTTCCTCCCCTTTATTCGACTCCTCTCTCTTCCCTCTTCGTTTCTGTCTCTCTCCCTATTTTGTTCTTTATTTTATTTTTTTTACCTTTTTTTTTTGTTTTTACTAATAAAAAAACCATTTTGCATCTTTTACATCTTTTATTTATTTTTTTTATATTTTTAATATTCTCAATATCCTAAACATTAACATATAGAATAAAAAAATTATAAAATAAAATCATATATAATAAAAAAATTATAAAATAAAATATCTGATTTTTCTTTTTGTTTATTTTAACATAATTTATTATTCCTTATTTATTATAATTTTTTATTTATAATATATATCAATTAAAAATAAAAAAATAAATTAACAATAATACATTATTTAAAAAATATAATAAATAAAATATTTAATGTGTATTAAAAAATATATATATATATATATATATTACTGCTCCCCGAGGCGCTCCCAACCTAAGAAACTTCTATTGGCTCACGCTTTCTTGCTCTCGCTCCCGCTCCCGCTCCCGCTCTCGCTCCCGCTTCGTGCAACTAAGGTCTCAGCACATGAGCTTATAGCCTAACTTGGAAATGGAATATGATGGTATTAGGATTAGTAATATAAAATTAGTCTTGAAATAGATATGCCTTTCTACATGATTAAAACCTATTGGAGATGTTGGACTGCTTGACAAGGGATCAATGAATATTCTTGATATAACATGATGTTGCAGTTGGTTGTGGTTATAGAAAGAACTTGCAAGTGAGTAAAAGAGATGATTTGGGCATGATAAAAAAAAGCTTAAAAAGGTTGAGGAAACCAAAAGTGCAATGCAAATAATTTTATATTCTTGTCTACCGAAAAGAGTTTTTTTGTCTTTTTTGTTTTGTGCTTCACCTCCCTCCTTTATTCCTCTGTCTATTTCACTTTGTTTTCTTGGGGGTGAGATGGGTACAGTTGCTAGAAGGGTAGGGGGTCTGGGTTGTTTTTCCTTATAAAGTTACACATATTTCTAGGGAAAGTTCCACATATTTCTCTAGAAATATCTGAAATATGTGCAAATAAAACATGATGATCGTAGAGCATTGAAGAGGTTTTCTACAAGTATCAAATTGGTAATGGCATATAAGGAGGTGACTAGGGGCATTTGGCAGCACTTTTGGATATTGGTTGCTTATAGTCTATAGACATGGTTTGCGAGCGCAAGGTTGTTTATTGGTTGTTGGTAGTTATGGGGTAATTTTGGTGACTTTTTTATTCAAGAGCCTTGCATTTTTGTGGATATTTATGGAATTAATGGATGTGAAAAGAAGCTAGGGATATCTTTTGTATAGAAGGGCTAAATTCAGTCTGATAAATGTATCTTTTGAAAAGGGGTACGATGATGTTTCAACATCTGTTTACTGGGTTTCTGCTTAGCGAAAAGGAAGTCCTGCGTTTTGTATACCGGAATATCTTTGTTTCATGTATTTTGGAAGGGTCACTTATTGTCTAATGATAGGTTCATGTATAGCTTTCGGCAATATATTTAGGGTTATATACAAATTAATCATGTAAAAACACATTTTGTCTTGCCAAATGTCCACTTTCTCTTTATTTTTATTCATTTATATTTATCATTTTTTCCTCCTAAAGATAACAATAAGAAATAAAGAACAATTTTTTTTGGGACCACTTTGGAACAAATGTCGCCATGTTTTAGAATATGTGATCCAAAATGTAAATCATAGTGTTTTCTGGTAACACAATTTGACCTGTACGAGAGGTATTTTATTGGTTGCTGATGCTTGTAAACCATGTTAGCAGTCTCCGTTGGAAGCGGAATTCACTTGAAAAGTACTTAGCTGTGTATTTCAAATTGTCAAGATTGGTTCCTAGAAATCCACACGTCATACTAAATACTTTTCTGGTTCTTTCATCTCAATACAGAAATCATGCGGATGTCAGGATTGATATCCAATCAAAGTCTTGTTGATCATGAAAGAATTGGGCATGAACATCCGTTTAGATCCCTAGGTCAACAAGCAAATGGTGGACCAATGGATATGGAGGGGTGGTCTGCCATGCAAACAGAGGTAATGGTATTTTATATTTTTTGTGGGGTTCTATAGTCTAATGTTTTATTTTTTTTCAACTTCACATAGATAATTGGTTTAGAAATGAATTGCATCATGACAACTACTATTATTGCGGTTATACTTCTCCATTACAAAGCATGCTTAGGGGTATTGATACGATATGGGTATGTCAATACAGTAAAATCTAAAAAAAGTAAGGTACGGGTACGGGTACGTTCATGAAAAAGCGTTTATTTTAGTTTTGCAAAAATTAATTAAATGGTTTAGTTTGTTAATAGCCAAATACAATTTACATTTAATGCCAAAAGTAAGCTATAAATCAAAATTAAATGTTATTATATTAAATAACTTACCAATCAAAGCTTAATTTTAAAATCATGCTAAGCGTAAAAAATTAGTCCAATGAAACTGACCTCACCTCTATATAGAAGAAAAAACTTTTTTGGTTGAGGTATGGCTTGGGTATGTACTAGGTACGTCTGGTGTACGGCAAAAATTAAGTAGAAAAAATCTAAGATCCAAACACAACTTTATGGTTATATTATATCATCGAGCTTTATGAGAATTGATGTTGAAATTTAACACATGGAAAATGTCACTTCAGGAAAATGGACTTCTCCAAAGAATGGCCCCCTTTCAGGCTTCCCGTATGGGTTGGCATGGGGCACGTGGGATCCCAACCACAACTATAGTGAAGAAAGTTGTTAGACTTGATGTTCCTGTGGCCAAATTCCCAAATGTAAGTAAAAATGTTATCTCACTCAATTTCGAGTCGGGTTTTCATTATTTTCCTTTCCTTTTTAGGTAAATTTTTATTTCATTGTTCCTAACACAAAAGGGTGGCAGTATAATTTTGTCGGCCGACTTTTGGGACCACGTGGGAACTCCCTGAAAAGGGTTGAAGCTGTGACAGAATGTAAAGTATACATTAGAGGTCGAGGCTCGGTAAAGGACTCTGTTAAGGTATGAACATTTTCTTCTTACCATGAAATTTGATAAAGCGAATCACTTCAAAATAATTTACCATTTTAATAATGACAGTGAAACCAAGTTGAGGAAATAAGGAATGCTTCCCTTTGCATAGATGTTAGTTAGTTTGAGTTTAAATTTAAGTGTTTTGTTTTTGGCTTGCTTGAATTACAGTTTGTTGTTAATATTTACAATTTAAGTTGATTACTGATTCTCTTGAATCTTTCCTTTTAATGCAATCTTCTAAAGTAAGGATATCTTGACTTGTAGGTGATGCTACAAATAGCTCTTGTCCATGTTTTATCTGATGGTGATGTGCGTTTCCTTCTGTACTTATTTGCAATTCACACACACACACACACATATAAATGCAGAAATTATTGCACTTAATTACTCGTAATGGACAATTAAAAATTATTGCTAGTCATGGTATACCTGAAGTATAGCTCCGGGTAAGACTCTGTTTCGTCACTTGTGCACTAGTCTTACAACACTATCTAGCTTCATGATGTTCGTATGAAACTCATCATTGGAAAATTATGAATTATGGTTCAGAACAAATATTTGTGTAGCAATGAATCATTAGATTTTATTTTTGGGTCTTTGAAATATGAATATTTGTTATTACCAGAATGATGAGCCAGATCAATTGGTGAGCATGCTGGTAAACTATTTTTGACAAAACTAGCAGCTGAACCTACCTTTCATACAAATTGAAATTTACAAGAGGAAAAAAATAAAAAATAAAAACCTAAACTTTACTTGTTTGGATAATTGAGATTTTGGCTCAATTACATGTTTCCCTGTAAAATGCACAACCTCCAAATGGTTCCAAAATGTAAACTTATCCCCATTGTGGTTTGGAATGAACTGCAAGATTGATCAAAATTGTTTGAGATAACAAATGACCGTGTTTAGGAAAGGATTTTTTTTGGCTTTTTAGGCTAAAATAGCACTAAAGAGAAAATAGGCTAAAATAGTCAATAAGACAAAATGTCACATCAAACTCATAATCATATCACTTTTTCTCTCACAAACATCCCATCTAATTATAAAAAAATCCAACATTTTTCCCAAACACGGCTATTTTAGCCTACTAAAATAGCCTACTAAAATTGTCAACTTCCCAAACACCTTGAATTTGTTCAATTCACTCATTTCAAGGCATCATGGGACTGCTGAAACTTTTTCTTTTGATTTTAAATTATTGTTTCTTTTCTTTTTCTTTCGTTGCCTTCTTAGCTAAGAAGTATAGACATGGACACGAACACGGGACATAGTGATTTTAAAAAAATAAGGACATGGACATGGTGGGGACTCGACAATAATTTATATATATATATATTTTTATTTGCTATGTAGATTAATATTATTTCCACAAACAATCAAAATTAGCAAAAAAATAACACTAATTTAATATAAAAAGTCCACTAGATTTAATAACTAATAGATCATCCATAAAAAGACAAAATGGTAATGAACATTTAACATCCAACATCCATAAAAAGCACTAAAGAAGAGGGGAAAAAAAACTAATTGGCGCGTTCCCATTGTGCTCTAAAAAAAAATTTAAATAAAGACACACCAGCTGGCGTGGCTGGCGTGTCCCGTATGTGTCCCTGGTGTGTTTGACATTGCTACAACACCTGTTTTAGAGTGGTCATGCTTCATAGCTTCTCAGCATGTTTTCTTCCTCAACCCACCACCTCACCACAGCCACCACAGTGAAGGAAAAGTATATTGGAAAGAGAATTCATACAATTTGTTTCTTCTGTTTGTTTTTGTTTTATTGTTTTTTTTCCCTGACCTATGTTATTGACTAGAATCATGTTAGGTATACTTAAAGCATTCATCACATCATTTCTTGTAGGCATTGCTTTGATTTTTCTGTACAGAGTCTAAAAACACAATGTACTCATGTTTTTTATTCTTCTTAAAAGAACAACTACAAAGATTTTTTAGGGAGACAAACTTGAACATAACTTCAGCTGACGAGATTAAACAATGGGAAATGGCAACATTTTAAATGCATCTTTACATATTTGAAGAACTATACTGTTTTCTTGATTACATTTGCAATTTTTTTTATATATATATTTTTTAAAATTGTCGCTGTTTTGGGGTGAAATGTGTACCAATGTTCGGCATGGTAATGTTTGAAATTTGAAATGCTTTGTAATCATCAATTGAACACCAGTGTTATGCACTGATGTGGATGCTGAATTTATAGTGCAGCAAAGCATGAAAAAGTGATAGTCGCCTTGTTATGTAATTTAGTTTTTCATGGAGGAGTTAGCTGCAAACAAGTAGAAATGACTAGGCCTGCGCCCGGATGGTATAGGTTTTTTTTTTGAATTTGCATAATTTCTTCCTAAAGTTTGTCTTACCGGAATTTTTATTCATCAACATCATTGATGTCATCGTAATCATAATAATCGTATCCTTATCATTTGTCCTTGTTGGTTGCATGGCACACTTCGAATGACATTATTCAGTGGTTCACTGTATCAGAAAGTCAAATTTAATGCTTATTTGTAAACTTAAACCTAAGGGGGGAAAAAAAAGAGAAAAGAAAGAAAAGGAAAAATGTGGTTCTATTCTAGTGTATGGGGTTTATTTTTGGATCTCATGTACTATGAATGTCCATCTGGTTTTCTTGACATGCTTATAATTTTTCATTTCTAATGATAGATGTCTGTCTTTTTAATTAGGAGGAAAAATTAAAAGATAAGCCCGGATATGAGCACCTTAATGAGCCGCTACACTTGTTGGTGGAAGCTGAATTCCCGGAGGATATAATTGCTTCCCGCTTGGACCATGCAGTTTCAATACTGGAAAACCTTTTAAAGCCTGTGGTATGAATCAAAGTAACTTTGCAGCCATTGGACCACCTTTTTTGTTTAGATTTTGAAAGTGGTTCTTGTGTTTTTTTTGTTTGGTTGTCAATATTTGTGAAAAAATCTGAAAAAGTCCAGCAAAGACAAACACACAAGAATGTGCTTCTCTTTCATTTTTTTGGGGGGTCTTTACTAAATTTTTTTTATATTGATTCACAAATATTTTATTTTTTAGGTGTATTTAAATTAGGTGCATCTAAAAAGTAGAAAAAGGGACTAAAACATTAAAAAAAAAATCACTAAAGACCAAAAAAAGAAAAAGAAAAAAAAGAGGACTCAAAAACAATTTATGAGTTTGAAACCAAAAAAGGAAGACTACTATTATACTTTCTATATATTTCAAACTACCTCTCACTCCCACTCCCTCGCTCACTTTCTCCAGGATGAATCTATGGATCACTATAAGAAGCAACAACTTAGAGAATTGGCTATGCTAAATGGTACACTAAGGGAAGAAAGCCCAAGCATGAGTAGTCCTAGTATGAGCCCGAGCATGTCACCATTTAACAGTATAGGAATGAAACGAGCCAAGACAGGACGATAGTTTCTCTATAGATGATCGAGATTCTTTTGCTTGCCTGATGACCCATATCGGATTGATTGATTTCTTGATGGTTTGACCTGACGAATACTGTGTGCAAGACCGTTCAGAGGCAAAAAAAATTATGGAAAAGGTTGTACGACTTCTCAGCTTGCTTTGGGCATTTGACACTAGCGTCTCAGGCAGGACTTTGATTCGTAACCTCCACTTTGATGATTTGGTATTTATCTCTATTCTTCCAAGTATCCTTGCTTTGGATGTTCTGACTTTATGATTTACTGGTTATAATAACTTCATGCCCATATTGGATTAATGAATGTCACGATAGCGACCAAGGCATTTTGACATTGACTTCGTATTACTTTACCCCGAAGAATAAAGGTTGTTATGAAATATATTTATGATATCTTCGTGTAACATTTCATGATTGTACTCTTTTTTTCTTCTTTCGTTTTGTTTTTGTTTATTTTCTTCTTCTCGTTGATTATATGTTTTAACACGACTGGTGACCCATGCGATGCAAGTTGAAGGAAGAATGATTATTTGTGGTCACTTTTAAGGCACTTTTAATTCTTTTGGAGGAAGGTAAGGTAAAATGGCGCACTTGATCTTTTGTTTTTATTATTTTTGTTTTTCTATCCTAAATACACCTAAAAAAACGATCGAGAAATTTCTTAATTTGACAAGCCTTGTGCGTATCGGGACCTAATCTGAAATGCAATGCAATGACAGAGAATGGTTCGTGTTTTTGCAAATGCATGGCCATTGTGGTGGCACAAACCAGTCATTCTCCGACTCGAATTCCATTGCTGGGGTCTCATTGATTCGGGCTTGGTTTGGGTTGTTGCCATATAAGGTGACATCGTCACAGTTGTAAAATAAATCAAACTATTTAAATTTAACTGGTGTTGAAAGTTTAACTCGTTGAAGGTCGACTTAGTGGGTTTCAGGGTTTGTTTTGTCATGGCTTGTTTTGCCCTTTTTGGAAGCTAAAAAAGTTTAGCATAAATCACGTAATTTTTTTTCCACTTGGGCTCTTGAGGGTTTTTTTTCCCCCTCCCTCCTTACTTAAACCTTTCATGTTTTAGTTTTTCTTAATTGGATCTAGCTCCTCTCCAGTCCGCCATCGGACTAGAGGGTGCTGTTAAGACATGGTGGGCCTTGGTTTAGGTCCATCTTAATAATTCAAATTGTTCAATATGTAAAGCTTGTCGAGTACATCATCCATTGAGTATATCATTTTGGCAGAAAATCACGTTGATTGAATATTAATAACCATTTGATCAGATCACATTTCTGTTTTAATTTATTTTGAAAATAATACTCGCCATTGACAGAAATGTGATACAATGAAATGTCTATCGATATCCGATCATCGAGAATTTTTTTAGGAATAATGTACTCGATGGGTTCTACACATTGAATGGTTTGGATCATTGAGATGAGTCCAGATCAAGGCCCACGACGACTGTAGAGGAGCCAGATCCTTCTCAATTTACTTCTAAAATTAATTTCATGTTCAAAATTAGACAAAAAATGCCACGTTAGCTGTCACATGATATGAAAAATATATTATTATATTAGGATTTGGATTTGTATTAGAGATGCGAGTCATGTAAAATAAAATATTTTTATGTTCTGTGATTGTTAATAAGTTAATTTTTGGAATAAATTGAAAAAAACTAAAGACATGAAGAGCCAAAGTGAAAAAATGGTTAAACATAAATGAGGTAAAGTGTAATTTATGTAAAAGTTAATGCGTTTGGATAGTTATAAAAAAAAATTATTTTTATGTGAATCAAAAGTTGATGTGATATTTTATTTTTTTAATTGAAGGCAAACAACGTCTTTTTGGCTATTTAGGCAAAAGTCGACTTTTTTGTGAGGTCTCCAAATGACCTCTCATTATGTAGATAAATCAAATTTTAACATATTTTAAAATTCGTTAAATTATTAAGTCAAGCTTGAATAATTTTTACTTGGCTTGAAAAACTTATATTCACTATAATAAATTAAGTTACTCGAGTTTGACTTGTTATTAGCTTGATTAGAATTTTTTTGAGATTAGTTCGAAAGGGAAATATATCAAGCTTGATCACATTTTGTAGTTTTATTAACTTTTTAGGTCAAACTTAAATAATCTACTAATTTATAGACCTATTAGAGATGGCTACAATTCGCAAGGTCTTTTTTTGTAAAAGAAATTATAAAGCATAAAATAAAGTAAACAACATACCGAACAAGAAAAAGAAAAAAAACAAAAACAAAACCCCAAAGAACCAAACAAGAAATCTTACACAAATTACAAACAATAAACTATAAAGCTGTCAAAAAAATCAGTTGTGGTTAGGGGGCATCAATGGGATGGGTTGGCATACCAATCCCAAATGTTAACTGGATTTTTTGGGCTTTGACCAGTTAACGGGTTGGTACGGGTCGAACCTATTTAAAATATTAAAATTACATCATACCCATAAACCCAAATCTTACAGATTAAAATTAAACTGAATTGAGATACACATTTTCTTATTAGACTTATATTATTAAGTTATACACATTTTTCATTCACAAATTTTTAATATTTGTATTAGTTATTTTTTCTTTTTTACTTTCCAACATAATTCAAGTATTTTTCATACAGTATTTGTTTTACCATTTTACATCTCATATAATAAAAAAAATAATCAAGGAATATAATGTAATTTTATTTATAATACCTACGGGAAAAAAAAGAGGAAAAACTAGCATCACACAAGATTAGAACCGTTCACAAACTTTAGAACTGAAAATCCCTAAATCAATTCTAAAACAAAAGATACTAATTATTTATTTTTATTTTTTGGTAACTTATATTTTATTTCACAAGAAAACAACAAAACAAAAACAAAAAGGCAATCCTCCAAATAGAGCAATAGTAACAAAAACAAAACAAACAATCTATATAACAAAACAGCTCTGCTGATGGGACATCTATCCTAGGTGGCAATAGATTTAAAGGTTGAGATTAATTTCAGATTTTCTATCTTCTTATCTTCACTGTTGGATATAGCTTGAAACTTGAAACCCATTTCACTTTTTCTTTACCGTTGGATATAGATTTTCTGTCTTCAGATTTTCAAAACATTTCAAACCCATTTCACTCTCCCTTCACCACCCAAAACCTATTTCATCAACACTGTTTCTCTCTTTTTTTGCTACTGTTGTTGTATTCAAACCCATTCATCATCACTGCTTCCGTGGTTCTTTGTTGCTTCGGTGGTTATCGTCGGTAGCAACTGTTTGCCTTCAGGTAACACCTCTCTCTTCCCCTCACAGTCTCAGTCCCCCCTCTTTTCCCAACCCCACCTCAAACTCCCCACTTTCACTCTCTTCATGTTTCATCTATAAAAAAACCCTAATCTCAACCTTCCCACTAATCCGCCCTAACAAACCCATCTCAATCACCTGCTCCACCGCATCCCAAATTCAGGACCGCCCCTCTGCCGCCTCTGAATCCCAAGATCGCGTCTTCAACTTCGCCACCGGCCCCGCCACCCTTTTTGAGATTGTTCTCAAGAAGACCAAATCCGAGCTCTACAACTGGCATGTCTCTAGCATGAGCGTCATGAAGATGAGCCACAGAGGTAAAGAATTTCTCTCCATTATCCAAAAAGCAAAGTTAGATCTATGAACCCTCCTCCAAATCCACAGAGGTAAAGAATTTTTCTTTGTTGTTTAAACATTTATAAATTTATTGATTTTCTTTGTTGTTTTCTCTCATATTAATCAACAAGTCGGACATTTTTGGGTCAGACAGTTTTTGGCGATTAATCTAGAAATCGGACAATTTTTTGTGTTTGTGTTCCTAAGGGTTTGAAAAATCTTCCATCCTGTTTGGCCAATTAGACAATTTTTATTTTTTATTTTTATTTTTTTATTTCTGTTTTACCATAGGAAACAAAACCAATTTTAAACCGTTAGTTTGTCGTCATATTTTTTGTTCATATTATTCTTTGTTCATCATATTTTTTGTTCATCTTAGTTTGTTGTTTCCTCTCATCTTAGTTTTTAGGCTGTTGGATTAATCCAGAAATCAAATATTTTGGGGATTAATCAATAAATCAAACAAATATTTGGGTGTAGACACCCCATTTTTGACTGACCTTAAGACTCAGACGTCATCGATTGAGCGCTCGGTGATAGTGCATGTTGTGCTCGTTCGAGTTTCCGGAGTTTTCGGCTGGATGCCTTGCCTCCATGCCTCTGAACTTTTTGTGTTTTAGCTCGGTTTGCGGACCAAGTCTTGTTTCTCTTCCCTAAAGGGAGGGGGGTGGTCTGTGGACCATCCTTTTGTGGTCGTGGACCACTTTTCCTGCTTGGAGACTAGTTTCTGGTTTTTGAAGCCTTCGGCCGCGCGCCTTGTCTCAGGACCGCTTAATGTTTTCCGTTTGGCTTGGTTTTCGAACCATGCATTGTTGCCTCTGCCTAGAGGGACACTGTGGTCCGAGAGACCACTTTTGGTGCCCATAGACTAGTTTTCGAGTCTCCCAGCCGCGCGCCTTGACTCTCGAACTTTCGTCTTGCATCCTTTTTGGTTTGCTTTTGGTACAAACCTTGTTTTCCTTGTTTGGAAGGTGGTACAAGGGTGGGAAACCAATTCTTTCCCTTGGAGACCACTTTTCTTCCCGCCAGCCAGTTTTCTGGTCTGCCAACTGCCATCGATTGAGCGCTCGGTGATAGTGCATGTTGTGCTCGTTCGAGTTTCCTTAGTTTTTGGCTGGATGCCTTGCCTCCATGCCTCTGAACTTTTTGTGTTTTAGCTCGGTTTGCGGACCAAGTCTTGTTTCTCTTCCCTAAAGGGAGGGGGGTGGTCTGTGGACCATCCTTTTGTGGTCGTGGACCACTTTTCCTGCTTGGAGACTAGTTTCTGGTTTTTGAAGCCTTCGGCCGCGCGCCTTGTCTCAGGACCGCTTAATGTTTTCCGTTTGGCTTGGTTTTCGAACCATGCATTGTTGCCTCTGCCTAGAGGGACACTGTGGTCCGAGAGACCACTTTTGGTGCCCATAGACTAGTTTTCGAGTCTCCCAGCCGCGCGCCTTGACTCTCGAACTTTCGTCTTACATCCTTTTTGGTTTGCTTTTGGTACAAACCTTGTTTTCCTTGTTTGGAAGGTGGTACAAGGGTGGGACACCAGTTCTTCCCCTTGGAGACCAGTTTTCTGGTCGGCCAACTGGTCTCCTTGGTCTTTGGGCCACATTTTCTGGTCGGCCACCACACCACTGCCTTGCTTTCATGTTGTGGACCTTCTTCCCCCCATGGCCGACCACTTTTTGTCTTGGGAGACCACTTGTGGTGGTCGGCCGACCACTTCAAGTAGCTGGCTGACCACTTCAAGTTGTCGGTTGCTTTTCATCATCTTTTTGGGGATATTTTTAGGCCAGCTGTTATA